CACTCCTGCTCCAGGTCCCGCTTCTGCTGGTCGGAGAGCTCGTCGTCGAAGGCCAGCGAGACGTGCAGCGGGTACTGCTCCGCTTCCGGCAGCCGCAGGGGCGAGGTGCCCTCGATGCCGATGGCCCAGAGCGTGGGCGTCTTGTCCTCGACGCTTCGCATGATGAACTGTGTCCACGCCGCGCAATAGTCCGACTCGTCGACGACCATCGTCGTCAGCAGAGTTTCCAGCTTGTTTATCACATCCAGGCTCGTTGTCAGTGACTCAGCCAGTGCACGGTCAAGCTTAGTGAAAACATCCTGCGTCAGAATGTTTTTCATCTCTTTGTGACCCCAACACCCCCAAACCCTAACCCCAAAACCCTAAACTCCTAAACCCTAAACCCTAAACCCCCAAACCCCAAAAACCCCAAACCCTACTCCCTAAACCCTTAAGCCTTGGGTCGCCAGGCCATAGGACATTCATCCAGCAGCCTGGGGGCAAACAGGCTTCAGCGTAGTTCGGCATGTCGGGGAATACAGAGGCCTACAAGATTAGACTTTGGTTTATAGGGTTGGTTTTAGGGTTTTTAGGGTTTGGGATATTGGGGTTTAGGGTTTGGAGAATACGGAGGCCTACAAGATTAGACTTGGGTTTATAAGGTTTAAAAGGTTTAGGGTTTTGGAGATTTAAGGTTTTTTAGGGTTTGGGGGTTTTGGGGCTTAGGGCTTTAAGGTTTTAGGGTTTGGGATATTGGGGTTTAGGGTTTGGAGCATACGGAGGCCTACAAGATTAGACTTGGGTTTATAGGGTTTAGGGTCTAGGGTTTTGGGTTTTGGGGTTTAGGGCTTTAGGGTTTAGGGTTTTGGGGTTTAGGGGTGTTAGGGTTTAGGGTTTGTGATATTGGGGTTTTGGGATTACGGAAAAGGGCGGCCTACAAGTTACAAGCTTAGACTTGGGTACACCTAAACTCTAAGCCCCCGAGGAGCCCTCAATCCTAAACCCTAAACCAACCATAGATATCGGGAAACCCCAAAGAATACCGTTAAAGACTGTTTAGGGGTTTAGGGTTTATAGGGTTTAGGGGTTTAGGGTAGCGGGTTTAGGGTACTAGGGTCAAGGGTTTTGGGGTTTCGGGTTTAGGAGGGGTTGGTGTATTGGGGTATTTGGGCATTAGGGTTTTAGGGTGTTCGGGTTTAGGGTATGAGGTTGTGAGGGTTAAGGTTAGGGTTTCGAGTATTCGGGTTTGGGGGTTTACCCGAAGCCATGCACCCCATATGTTAGCTCTACAGCGAACCGCATACGCACCAACGCCCTGACAAGTCCAATTCCCACTGGCTCGTTGCCAGACATTTAAACGCGCCTTACCGTTCAAGTGCCCATCGTGCTACGGGAATCCTGCTGACCAGATCTTGCTACCATGAGGTGAGGATGATGCCCAACCTGCCCTAAACCCTAAACCCTAAACCCTAAACTCACTTTCTTAGAGTGCACGGGACATTATCGGTTCGTGTGAAGCGGATGTTTACACGGTGCAGCCCCGGCTGCGCAACCGCTCCAAACGCGCTGCCGCTGTCGCTGTGACCCACCAACTCCACCAGTGAAAAAACCCGCTAGGACCCAGAGACTCCAAAACCCCTTAATTAAGGAATATACCTTAAATTATAATAGGACCCCTAATATGATTTAGGGTATATTCCTTAATTAAGGGGTTTTGGAGTCTCTAGGGAATGTCAGTGTCAGGATGGCCAAAAATGCGCACCGCCTACGTGCGTACACCTGTCTGGAGTGTCCTCCACGACCCTGCGCTCGATGGTGCAGGTGTGGACGCTTTGCGACTCATAGTTCAATCGATCCCATGGAGGGCACCAAACATTTAATGGGTCATACTAAATAAGATTCACTTACATCCATTGCAAATTTATCCAGCGGCCTACCTCTACAGAGCCATATTACCCTTGACAGGATGTCGGTAATTTAGCGGCTTCAAGTATTAGAATAAGGTTTCGGGGGTATATACCGTTATACAACAGTATAGTAACTTGGGGACTCACCGACTAACTCCACAGGAAACCCTGAACCCTAAACCCTGAACCCTAAACCCGAAGCACTTGCCCAGTGCCATGATCCTCCAAGTAGATGCAAGGTATTTAGAGGCCTTAACAACTAGGATAGGCGTCCATTCCAGCATCATGAGGGTAGGGACTATCAGGCATATTCTTACTAAATACTGTTACGCCACCAAGACCGAACGAGGCATTAGCAGCTTCAACCGCCGGGGCACAGCAAAGGAGGGCGGCGCAAGGCTACGCGTGCCAGGGACAGAAGGTACCTTGCAACTCACGGCTTGCAGTCAGGTTCACTGGACAATTCAGAGCAAATCCAGGGCTTATTTTCCTTACCTCAACCTACCCTTGTTGCAAATCCTAATATCAAGTGTATAAGAAAACTGCAAAGAACACGTTTTGGTATGTTAGGGTTAAGGCAACCCTAAACCCTAAACCCTGAACCCTAAACCTTAAACCCTAAAACCTAAACCCTAAACGCTAAACCCTAAAGAAGTCTAAAGAAGGTATAGGCCAAGCTTACAGTCTCGGGTTTTGGGGCTCTGGCTCCAGGGTTCAGGGTTCTACGGCTGTCGGCTTTAGATACAGGGTTTAGGGTTTAGGGTCTGGGGTTTAGGGTTTAGGGTTTAGGGCTTAGGGTTTAGGGTTTAGGGCTGACATGTGGGTAGTACTCGAAACTAGGGTCTCTTTAGGGTCCGTTTTATAAGGGTGCCGCCTTTTTTTGGGGCTCCAAAAACTGGACTCCATTTAGAGAACTACCCATGTGTGCCCTCTTTATCGCACAGGATCTGTTTTATTTCGGATCTTTAACAATTCCGTTACGAAAGGTGGCGGAGAAAAAAGCTCAACCGAACAGGGACTAGAGGAAACACCAAAGGAATAAGATTCCTAATGGAATAAGATTTTCTCGATTCTTGGCGTCGCTTTTGAAGCCTCTTCCCTCAAGGATCATCGGTACGAAGCACCCTAAACCCTAAACCCTAAACCCTAAACCCATTCTACAGGGTCGTGAAGGGTTTGACCGAAGGAGGTCTGAGACAGAAACTACCAATGGGTTTAGGGTTTAGGGTTTAGGGTTTAGGGTTTAGGGTTTAGGGTTTAGGGTTTAGGTAGTTCTCTAAACTAGGTGTCCTTTTCGGTCCCCAATATAGTACGGCACCCTTATAAAAAGGCCACCAAAAGGGACCCTATTTTAGAGATTACCCATATGATTTGAGCGGGATCCTCCAACTTGGTACTACGACTGTTTTGGGGGGCATTTAGGGTTTAGGCCCTAAGCCCTAAACCCTAAACCCTAATAGTGTTTGGAGTCCTCCATCTTGGTACTAGCGGGACGTTTTGGGCTCATGAAGCCGCGTTCCAGAACTACCCGCCAAAAACCCAGTTATCAATAGCCACTTGCCGTTGAGGTTGAAGGGTCCAAACCCTAAACCTGGAAATTGAACACCGAAACCAAACCATACCCTAAACCCTAAGTATTTACAACCCGAGCCCCAGACTCTAGGCTTGAGAGCGAAAAACGAGCACCCTAAACCTCGAACCCTTCAACCATAAAGCAATCCCTCCTACGAAACACAATCATAGCAATAGCAACAATAGCAATAAATAATCATCACTTGTCGAAATAATGGTGGATATACTTCCTACTTATCCGAACCACAAGCCAAAAACTCCGCGACCCAAAGAGAACAAGGCTAATTTAGGTGTGACTCTGCTCCTTCATGGTTCTTTATGCATACAATTATTATCATATATAATCTACCCCAAAACCCTGTTGCAATTCTCAAGGCCCCTGTATTACTTTGGCTGCGCCTCTGCTCAAGGGGGCTAAAGTTTCCCTAAACCTATAAAACAAAAAAAGCTAAACCCAAAGCCCTGTATTACTTTGGCTGGGCCTCTGCTCCAGGCTAAGGTTGCCTCCATCAGCTGCGAGGACGGTACCCAGCCCCTGCAGTTCGGGAGAGAGCACTTAGGGGGCTTGGGATTTAGGGTTTAGGGTTTAGGGTTTAGGTTTTTTTTTGTCACCCCTTTTCCACCTGGGGTTTAGGGGTTTAGGGTTTAGGGTTTAGGGTTTAGGATTTAGGGCTTAGGCTTTCGGGCTTCGGGTTTGGGCTTGAGGCTTTGCTTCAGGGCGTTGGGGTTAGGGCCAGAGCTCTTGCTGCTCTTTCGATTTGCTCTTGTTGTCTGGCAAGGCTTTGGGGTGTGGGATTTCTGGTCCGGGTCTTTTACGGTTTAGCGGTTTAGCGTTTAATGTAGGGGCCTTAATAATTAGAAAAGAATTTTGGGGTCCTTTACTGTATAGTATCAAGATAATAAGGAACCCCTACAATAGCATAGGTAATTATTTAGGCCCCTATACTAGAGTCGCTTCGGGTTGTTGCTGTTGAGGAGTCTTTCTTTTTAAGGGTGCAGCCCTTCGGACGTTTGGTACACGGGGGCTTACCTGTAGTCTGCATTGTAGTTCCTTTTTTTTGGCTTTAAACCAAATATATATTTAGGAACCTACAAGGTAACCCCAAAAGGAACTACAATGAAGACTATAGGTAGTATCTAGGACTTTAGATTCAGCGTTGTTCAGGGTTTGGGCTCTAGCATGGTCGGGCATTCCTTTCACGTCTTACGTCTGGGTTGATACTTCAGGGCTTAGGTTTGTGGTATCGCGTACAAACATTCCAACGCGGCTAACGCGTTCGACGTAAAACAAAAAAGCTGATTGACCCTATCTCTATATATAAGGTGCCAAACTTATGAATTCGCTTCATGTTGTTTCAAAACGACACCGTGGTAACTTAGAGGCCAAGACAGGGACCTTAATGATCAGGGCCGTAATGCAGCGGCCTTAAATAATTAGAATAGGGTTTTGGGGTATACTATGCCATGCTATAATGATAATAAGGAAACCCCCAAAACCTTCTTCCAATTTTTAAGGCCCCTACACTCATCCAAAAGGTTCCTCGCTGTACGCAATTGTAGTCAACTTAGTAACCTCCCCCCCCCCAACAAAAAAAAACTCAACCCTAAACCGCGGATTCTGATCCTTATGTTGAGGAACCCCCCAAATGCCCAAGTCAAGCCCTTGGCCCTGAATCCTCACTGCCAGGCCGCTAGCCGCTAGCAATGAATCGTAAGTCCTTGTCCCTAGGCCGGTTTAGCCTTTCACGGTTTCGGGTTTTGGGTTTACCCTTAGCCCCCGAACCCTAAACCAATAAGTAGCCCCCATCCTTGAGATCTCGGGACTTCTTTCAGGGGAGTAGCTGCAGTAGCCCCTGTTACCCTTAGCATCAAAATAGCCCAAAAGCCTTACATAATAGGGTCTTTGGGCCCAAAAGCCTTAAAATATGAGTCCTTAGAGTCCTAAACCCTAAACCCTAAACCCTAAACCCTAAACCCTAAACCCTAAACCCTAAACCCTAGGGTTAAGCCCTAGATCCGGCGCGTCCTGCAACGTTTGAGCTTCATCCCAGCTCCGGCCGACTTCCCCGTCGTGCGTGCATATTAATATAGTACCGCTCATGGGATTCAGAGATGCATCGGGCTTCGAGTAAGATGCAGAAGCCTTTGCTGACAAGCTCTCGTATCATAGACCGCGCTGAGCACGCGCAAACCGAGAACAGAAGGTCAGAAGATATGGGAGTTTCCGACAATTAGGGTACCTTATTTGGGGGTCCTTATAATAAGGATCCTACTATTTAGGGTACTATATTAGGGTCCCCTATTTTCGGAAACCCCCATATGCTTTCCCGAGCACACTCTTCATGCACATGGCGACCTCGATCTGCTCTAGGACCATAGGCCGCCGTCGCTTCACTGCAAGCTCCGGCCCAGCCAGTCGCTCGTACGTCCGTATCCCAAGAAGCAAGGAGAGTCCACTTGGAGGTCGCTTTGAGGGCTGCGGTTCGCACGAGACTTTCCAAGTGTCTTTCTGCTGCTTCGAATTCGGGGGAGAGAAGGAAATGCCGCTGAATCAGGGTAGAGCTTGGTCATAAGTCATAAGGTTTAGGGTTTAGGGTTTCGGGTTTGGGGTTTATCCTTAGCCCCAAACCCTAAACCCGTAAGCAGCCCCCATCCTTGAGATCTGAGCCCTCAGCCCTAAACCCAGAACAAAAACAACTGACATGTTTTACCAGGGTTATGCACGTACGTTCTAGTACTTATACCTATAGGGGATATATAGGGGAATCATACTACCAAATGCTTAGGCTTCTGCCCTAAGCCCTAAACCCTAAACCCTAAACCCTAAATCCTAAACCCTAAATCCTAAACCCTACCCCTAACCTCTTAAACCCTAAACCCTCAACCCTTTTTAAACCCTAAACCCTAAACCCGAAACCCCAACCCTCAACCCTAAACCCTAAAACCTAAGATTGAAACCCCCAGCTCTGATGCCTGAGGCTTTGCCGCAACAATGGCATCGAGACCCACGCCTCCGAAGGTTCTACAAAGGGGTTTAGGTTAGGGTTCTTGACGGGCTTATAGTGTTTAGGGTTCTACAAAGGGCTTCAGGTTTAGGGTTCTTGACGGGCTTATAGTGTTTAGGGTTCTACAAGGGGTTTAGGGTTTGGGATCCTTGACGGGTTTATAGTGTTTATTTAGGGTTCTACAAAGGGCTTCAAGTTTAGGGTTCTAGATGGGTTTATAGGGTTTAGGGTTCTACAAAGGGCTTCAGATTTAGGGTTCTAGATGGGCTCATAGGGTTTAGGCTAGGGTTCTACAAAAGGTTTCGGGTTTACAGTTTCAGATGGGTTTATGGGGTTTAAGGTTCTACAAGGGGTTTAGGGTTTAGGGTTCTTGACGGGCTTATAGTGTTTAGGGTTAAAGGTTTAGGGTTCTTGACGGGTTTATAGTGCTCAGGGTTCTACGAAGGGTTCAGGGTTTAGGGATCGGGGCGGGTTTATAGGGTTTTGGGTTCTACAAGAGGTTTAGGGTTTAGGGTTCTACAAGCGGTTTAGGGTTTAAGGTTCTACAAAGGGTTTAGGGACAAAGGGTTTAGGGTTTAGGGTTCTAGAATCGGAAGGGTTCCTCGGGTTTAGGGTCCTACCAGGGATTTGGCGTGCAGGGGTTCCGGAAGGGTTTATAGGCTTTGGGTTTCGGAGGTCAGGACCCAAGGTTTCAGGCTAAACCCAAAACCCTAAACCCTAGACCCTGAACCCTAAACCCTAGACCCTGAACCCTAAACCCTAGACCCTAAACACCTAAACCCTCAACCCTAAACCCTAATACCCAAAGCCCTAAACCCTAGAGGACCGCAGACAAAGGCTGCTTCTGCAAATCTCCGACGGGCCTCGGGGGCAAAAACTGGTCGTGGTTCGTCAAAAACAGACTCTGATCGGGCTTGTAGAGGTCTTAGAGCGTAGTGTTGAGGGCTATTCTAACATACTGGTATAGGGGATATGGGAAAATTTTTAGGGGATGCTACTCTAACCCCTACCCTAAATCACTAAACCCTAAATAAACCCCAAACCCGAAACCCAAAACCCCAAACCATTAGGAACTTCTCACCTGCCTTTTTGGTAACCTGGTAGGAAAGGCTCTAGGTTGTGAGAGGCTCGGTGAGGCAACAGCGAGGAGACGCTCTTCAAGTCACAACAGGGCTTGGGGATTACTGTTTTGGGTTTAGGGATTAGGGGTTTGGGTTTAGGGTAAACCCCTGGGTTTAGGGACTAAGGTTTTGGGTTTAGGGATTAGGATTTTGGGTTTTGGGATTAGGGTTTTGGGTTTAGGGATTAGGCTTTTGGGTTTAGGGATTAGGGTTTTGGCTTTCGGGTTTAGGGTTTTGGGTTTAGAGCCCACGCTATCGCGAAGAACTGTAAGCCCCAAACCCAAACAGCTTCGCAGCAGTGTTTGAATCCTCTAAACCTGACGAAGAAACAAACGCGGCCCTACACCCTAAACCCTAAACCCTAAACCCTAAACCCTAAACCCTAAACCCTAAACCCTAAACCCTAAACCCTAGACCCTAAACCGAGCTGGCCAAATCCTAAACTCCAAGCCCCAAGAAGGCCGAAACCCCAAACCCCGTGAACCCTCGCCACCGCCGCAAATCCCAGAGACTCCAACACCCCTTCATTAAGGAACATACCTTGAGTCATATTAGGGATCCTATTATAATTTAAGGCCTAAGCCCTAAACCCTAAACCCTAAACCCTTAATTAAGGGGTTTTGGAGTCTCTGGCATGAAATCAGAAAGGCTGCCTCGAAGGACGGCCCAGAGTGCCTCGTCTGTGAACCTCTGGTTCAGCAGTCTTTATCTTTACAGCGGGTATGGGGGCCTTTCGGGTTCAGGGACCGTAACTGGGGTTTAGGGATAGGGGTTTAGGGTTTAGGGTTTAGGGTTTAGGGTTTAGGGTTTAGGGTTTAGGGTTTAGGGTTTAGGGCTTGGGGTTTATAGGGCTTTTGGGTTGAGGGATGGGGCTTGTGGGTTTAAGCTTCAGCAGGCGTTTGAGGATGTCCGGCCGAAGGTCTCCGGATCCTTGCATGGGGAGAGGCAGGCCACTACTCTGCCTCCCTCCCCAGTTGCTCTTCCCGCGCCAGTCGAGTCTGACCGTGGTGATGTTTCATGGAAACCCTAAACCCCTAAACCC